TGTTTAAAATGGCGTCACCGCGCACGTGGCGGCAGCGGTCCACGAAAAATATAATTGATAAAAAATTAATTGTTATCAATTAATTGTTATCAATTAATTGATGATTCAATCGATTATTGTTTAATTAATTAATTAATTAATCCCCCTTGACCTACATTCCCCCTACCCTTTCTCCTTGACCTACATTCTCCCCATCCTTCCTCCTTGACCTACATTCCCCCCCACCCTTGACCTTGACCTACATTTGGTCCAGAAACCGCCTAGTATACCTACTCGTGTGTATATGTGTGAGAGTATGTTTACGGAAAGTTGAAATTTTCATCAGCGGCGGTGGCGGCGGCGGCGGCAGCGGCGCGGCGGCCGAGCGGATGGAGTTAAGGCGTAATCACACTACAGGTTGCAGGCTCGGTTGCGGTTAGGATTACGGTTAACAGTTGCAGATTGATCAATCACACTATAGATTGGCTGTACCGGCTTTGATAACCTTTATCTTCTGCTTTTCTACATTGAATTATAACCATGTCAACAATCATTGAATTTATTATAAAAGAACGAAAACGTAGATTTGTACGTGCGTGTCTACTATTTCTTGTAGCAGCTAAGCAGGAAAAACATAAATTAAGACGTTCTGTGTGGACTAAGCCGTATTTATTGCGAAGAAAGTTTAGTGGTATGCATCACAACTTATTTTTAGAACTTTCTCTTGAAGATCCGAACCGATTTCGAAGGTAAGATACAATTTGTATTTATTAAATAACTAATATAGATATAATAAATATAATAAATGATTCTAAAAAAAGTGAGTACAACAGATAATTAGTTTGATTTGAAAACAATAATACTTTATATTTATATATTTATAGATGTCTACGCATGAACGCTGATATCTTTGAATATCTTGTTAAAAAAATAACTCCTATTGTTAAAAAAAAAGAAACTCATTTAAGAGAAAGTATATCTCCTGCTGAAAGACTCTCTGTCACCTTGCGTCATCTGGCTACTGGTATGATATCTTAAGCAAATGTGATATAATTAATACATATATATTTTTTTATAAAATAATTAAATAACTGTTCTAATTTAAAGGAGAATCACTTAGCCTACAATTTAGAATTGGTCAAAGTACAATATCGGCAATAATAAAAGAAGTATGTGCAGCATTGATCACTACTTTAAAAGATGAGTTTCTTCGTATGCCAAGATCTGCAGAAGAATGGAACTGTATTTCTTACGACTTTGGACAGAGGTGGAATTTTCATCATTGCATCGGTGCAATGGATGGAAAACATATCCGAATAGATCTTCCTTTCAAATCGGGATCAGCTTATTACAATTACAAAGATTTTGCGAGTGTTGTATTATTGGCTGTCGTTGATGCGCATTTGAGATTTATATATATTGATTTAGGCTGTAATGGGAGATTGAGTGACTCTCATATATGGAACAAGTGTAGCTTCAAATCTCACTTGAACAGTAATAATCTTTCTTTGCCTCAACCATCTCCATTACCAGAATGTAACACCAATTTTCCGTATGTATTAGTTGGCGATGAGATTTTCCCTCTCACAACGAAGTTACTCATTCCATATCCAAAAGATCAATGTCGCAATCGGCTAGACAGAAGAATTTTTAATTATAGGTATGATCTAAATATAATCTACATTATGATCTGTATTAAACTTATCAAATTCCATAAAAATTGGCAAATTATTATAAATACTAGTGTTAATTATAGAATTTATGTGCTATATTATTTTTATAGACTATCACGTGCTAGACGCTGTTCAGAAAATGCATTTGGTGTACTAGGTCCAAGATTTCAGATTTTTCGGACAGCTATGAGATATGACCCTGATGATGCAATTAGAATTACAATGACCTGCTGTTGTTTGCATAATATGTTGCGCAGTCAAGCTATAGGTTGTGCTATGTACACTCCACCAGATTTCCTCGATGAAGAAGATATATTAACAGGTCATATGAGATTTGGTGAATGGAGACTGGAATCAACTAATGGCTTAGCTCAATTGTGTCATCAAGGTGGAAACCACCATGCAACTGATGCTCGCCTTCTTCGAGACACTTGGACTGAATATTTTAATAGGCCTGGGGCTGTACCGTGGCAAGAGCGAGTCGTACTTGGTCAAAATGCATCTTAAATATACAATAAATTTAAAAGAAAAAAAAAGAAATTTATTTAATGTAAGGCAAGGAAAGGAATAAAAAGTTTGATAAAAAATATAATCTTTGTTTAACATCATTTTTATTGTCAATACATATCTAAATATCTTTTATCACGTAAAGCGTCAGAATATCAATAACAATTTATGGAAATTCCATATTATAAATTGGAAGAGCACA